GGGTGGAAGCCATGTTAGTGGGATTGAAGGGAAGGGGGGAAATGGGATACGGACTGGCGATGTCAGAGAGAATATTGGCGCCCGCGAGCACAAAGAAGGCGGGGACGTTGAACAGCACCGGGCAATGATCGGTTGTCCCGTCTGGTCTCCAGTTATGTGAGAACGGGAGACAGTATGTGAACAAGACCAGGAAAGCGGTGATGTAGGATGCCGCCCAGAAACCCGTGGCGACCCAGATCGCGAGGCGTCGTTTCGTTTGTACTCGTGCGTAGAGATCCGTGTAGAACGCCAGATACGCCGCTTTGAGGATACATTCGGCGAGGTAGTAGAACATGTGTGCCCAAAAGGTGACCTAGTTACTGTATCAGCACGCAAACTTCATGATGGTCGGTTGGATTGGATGAGAGGGAAAATAGACCTTCAACAACCCCTCATTGAGCAGATACTTCTGCCCCTCCTCAATCCCATGTTTATCGATATACCGATCACCGTCTAGTAACACCGTTGTAGAGAGGATAGTGGCGGTAACCTCGCATAGGATCGAGAGAGCGAAGAGAAAGTGCGAGAGTTGTCGCCCCGTCGTTTGCCGCGATTGTTTGCGCATGATGTACCACCGGAGTATACAGCAACCTATGGCGATGACATCGGTGACTAGTTTGATGACGACTACGATCGTGCCGGATAACCCCATTGTTGCGGCGGGTTGCTGCTGCTGCTGCTGCTGTTGACTCTGTGTTGAAGGAAGGTAGATATCGATTCTTTTCTCCAATGTCGATGCCGATGACCGAATTGTAACTCTCAAGCCCGTAGGTAACAATAATAGTCTTCCGAAATATGCAACCCACCCACCAACCACAGCGTCGTATCAGTAGTAGTCGTAGTATCCGTCGTAGCACCGTCACGTAGTTGACTGTATAACCTCTCCGAATCCGAATCCGAATCACAATAATAACACCCAGTCGTTAATCCTCTTCGCCCCGCAACGGCCGCCGGGGGCTACAGCTCTTTTAACTGATTGGAAGTTTTGAAACTGCCATGGATGGATGGGTGAACCAGCATTTGCATTGTGATGCGCAAATCACTGCGTTCCGCCGAGGGTGGGTGCGTGTGTGTGGATTTGTCCCCTCGTCCCCGTCCCCATACATCCATAGTATCCTTGCTCCTTGAGTCCCCGATGAACGACGGGGGTGGTGGTGGGGGAAGGGTGTTTAAGCAAAACCCGATATTTCTGTCTAGCTATCTGTCTGTCTCAACGCACGGATCTATGGGGGTAAAACCGCACAAAAGGATGAATGGGCCCCGTTCTGCTGTGCAGGTTGCGGTGGCGGTTGCGGATACCGGGAATATGCCCACCCAACAATCCACAGTTCATCTCCCACTACAGACTATGAAAGAGACGTATCAGGCATGCGGAATCACTCGCTACATGTGACGCTAACAAATGGTGGCCGGTGGTAATGGGAAACCCTGCCTAGCGCCGGAGATCGATAATTGGGAAACTGCGTCTGTGTAGATCTGTGTGTCGCGTCGGGGAAGAAGGGCTCGAGGCTCGAGGGTACAGTAGTTAGCCCCTGTTTTACATGCTGATGCGAACTGCAAAAAGTCCATGGGCCCCGGGGGTGTTGTGCAGGTGAAAGTTGGGGAGGTTGTTGTTGTCGGTTGTGCAATCAGGCTCCGCGGAGGTGGAGGGGGAGGTGAAAATAAGACTTTGACCCTGATCGGCACGAGCTATGCGGAAAACTCCCGAGAGGTCGTGGAGGTCATTACAGCTTGCCAGTTGTGCTATGAACCTTCAAGTTTGTAAGCCGTGAAAAGAGCTTATGAAGCGAATGGAGACCGTGTTGAAGGACCGGACAACCGAGCCGTTCCCTCCATCATGTACTCTGTGATAGGCCACTTGGAGGCAATCATTTCGTGAACTTCATGATGATAATTCACAATTCCACATCCACAACTCCACAATGTCGAATGCAGCTCACATTTTTCTGCAACCAACTCCCGCCCCACCCCACCACCCCACCACCCCCATGAAACCGCCGTCTTACCCGTTTAACAAGGTCTTCGGAGCATTTCTTCATCAGACACCAGGTACTCCAACCCGGAAACCGTTTTACCAAGCAAGGACAGCCTCGCTTGGGTGGGGGTCTGGTCTGGAAGGAGAAGTTGCTGGGCCCACTTTGTTGCAAGGTGTACCGAGAAGCGAATTGACGGTCAACGTTGAGGGGGAAGTTGTGGTTACATGCCATGACGGTGGTATCCACCCCCGTGGATGGTGAGCGGGACGGCGGTCAAGAATACAGTGGCCGGGAAGATTGGGGATGAACAAAATAGGCGTCATTAGGCAGACGCTGTGGCTTGCGGGTGGTCTTTCTACTCTAACTCCATGATTGAATATTATTAGCAAGTCCTCAAGCCACTCATTTACTCTCAGAAACTCAAATCCAATCACACCTCTAGGTAACAATTGTGAGGACTGCCATCCCAGACATTTGTACAACACTCATAACCCGGCGTGTATCTCGCTTCTGCAACCGTGCGTGCGTGTGTGCGTTTGGCTGTTCTTTTCCGGAGTTACCCCTCTCACTCTCTCCTCTGAGTCCGAGTCTCCCCAGAGTCCTCTACCACAACGCCAATTCCCGCAGCAGCGGATATGACTGATAATCCTCTCAACGGCACCGCCAATATAACTACCGGCATACGCGGCGGCGGTGGTAGTACAGTACATTCTGGAAACCCGTTGCGCACATCCAAATCACGGGGATCGTCGGGAGCCTAAGTGATTTACATCCAGCGTCAAAGTGGATTCTCCTCAACACCGCACACAACGTAAGTATGGATTTTGTGTTTGCGCTGCGCTGTGGATCCAGAAACTGTTTCCGCCCAGGGAACCGGGACCCGTCTCACCGACAGATGTCCGTAGCGCTATGTAAGCGCAGTGATGAGAGGTTCAAGTTCGTGACGAGCTTGAGGAATCGCGTTCGAAGTTGACAGTGGGTGTGGTTCGGCCCCGCTTGATTCCAGCCAACTCTAGTACACACTCCAGTAGCGATTCCGCGTCAGTACATAGCGATCATGGCACCGTATGACGATGTCAATATGGTAACTTTGCTGCGCAGGAGGTTTTCGACATGCTTGCATCTCGCCAAAGTATAACACTTTGTAAAAACTATAGTATATCGAGTTTCAAGATCTATTCCCGCACGAACCTATGCGGAACAAGTTCCGAGTGCAGTGTGATTCAGGTACCGATTCCTCAGTCTTGCGAGTTACGGCCAGTCAACCTTTCAACCAGCATCGACAACCCTCATCACCTCACATCGCCAGACCTCAGGCTACAAACATCGGTAGCATTTACTCCATGCTATACTATCATCACTGTACCTCCCTGAAACGGGAAAAAACTTCATAACCACAACCACAGCCATCACATCACATCACATCGCCTCACCACCCGCCGCGGTAGATAATTCGAGCCAGTTCCTGCATAACACCAACCCTACCCGCTCTCGAGTCGGGGACTCCTGCAGAGACACTATATCTGAGAACCCGCCAACAGCCGCAGGAACTTTCTCCGATGTTACATCGGAGGTAGAGTCCATTCCCGGCAGGTTGGAATCGAAACCCCTTCTCCTAGCGGTGTGTAAAGTTTCGTTGATATCTGATCGACACCGGAGCCTCGAGACAAGATTCAGTGTGTGCCTGAAAAACGCGGACATCTCCAACCGCAGCAACTTCATGAACCATCCCAGATGTTGTTGTTGGTGTATCGCACTGTGGGAGATTTGCGGTATGGCGATCAAAAGTTCGGTTCGGAGTATACTCCAAGATACGACACGGCGACAGAACGACACGGCGACAGAACGACACGGGGAAGACCGAGGACACATACTATGATGGGAGTTTCTGATGCGCATCCGAAACCATGATTCCCATTTATGGTGGGTAAACAAAGAAGAGGTTGATGTTTGTCAAGGGGTACTATACATGGCAGTTTCAACATCCACCACAACGCCCATGTGTTTTTTCTGGCGGGAATGTCCAGCAGAGGAAAATATTGCAGCCAGAATTGTACCTGATCACGGTTCAAGACCATTGGAGTGGGTGAAAGTGATGCGGAGATAAAGAACGGCGGATAGCGGAGTGGAGTGTGGAAGTGTTGCGATACCAGATGAAGCAGCGGGAGTACCTGGCCAGGAGAAGATCGTCACAGATAGAAAGAGAGAGAGCGAGAAGAAGGTGCGGTATATGGCTGAAGGGAAAAAGAGAGGCGAAGAGCTGTGGAAAACTTCGATACTCTACTGCACCCAAATGACTTCCCTCACCGCCACCACCACTCTCCTGTTTACATCACCCCAAATCATCATCATCATCACAAAGACCCATTCCACCTCCAAATCCAACCCCTCAACCCCTCAATCTCTATTCTCCTTCTCCCATCATATCCACATCACAACTCCCCCAGTTTCACCTCACAAGCTCGATTTCAATGCTTTCCAGCCACGAGCACCTCGCCTTAACTCCCGTTCCTCGCCTTAACTCCCATTCCTCGCCTTAACTCCCGTTCCTCGCCTTCCCACTCTCCCACATCCCCACTTTCCCCCGCTCTCTCACTCAAACTCCGCATAACCGCCCCCACTACCCCGCCAAAGCCACCACCCACTTCTCCTCTCCAGACTACCAGCATTACAGTTCGTTGCGCACCAGTCCGCCATCCGATCGTATTCCCATTGCCACCCACAGCCATGTCCATCATCGAGCATTACACATTAGTTTAATCCCTTATACTCCGTACCCTATATCATAGGCTCGAATCCTCCATTTCCCCCGAGAGTGAGTGATACACCATGCGCGAAGAAACCGTGTGAGGGCTTCTTCGGTTTTACGTTCCATGCTTCCTGCGACTAGTACTAGTACTTATCTTGATATCTTGATGATGTGATGTCAAAAAAAAGTGTCGCCCTCCCACTCACAGAGAGGGAGAGACAGGGAACAAAAAGAGTTGGAGAAGATGGGAATTGAACCCATGACCTTCCGCATGCGAAGCGGACGCCATACCCCTAGACCACATCCCCATTGGATTTAGGCTCTTTATTCTCTCTAACTTTACACAAACAATTGTAATAATGTGCTCGGTAGGATGTGCCGATGGATGAGGTTGTGATGGGATGGGCTGGATGGAGGAGAGTCATGGGGGGGCTGAGTGAGCTATGGCATGATGAGAGGGGGATGCGGAGATACGGACATTCAGAGTTGCATGTCGCAGAGTATGAATGACGGTTCATGACACTGAGAATGAATTTAGTACTAAACGAACGTGACAGGATTCTTAAGATAGATAATAATTACGAGACGAAAACGCAAATCCAACAGCAAAAAGAAATGCAAAGAAAAAGCACAATACCGCCCAGATCTACAGCTATAGTCGTCCCAATATTAATAAGCCGCATCATGATAAAAGCATCTCCGGGTATCAAATAACAAAGTACCAACAGACAACAAGCCCTTTCCAGTTAATTAATTATCTCTCTCCCCATCAGCCACATCCAAGGCTGCACATAAAACCGGAACAAAGTGCCTCATCCTCTCTGGTTCCGCCACTCCAGCCCCGACATCTAAACCCACCTCCCCCAGGGGCGCTGATACTCCCCCCACACCATCTTATCAACGTAGGGTCTATTCTCCTCACCACCCGCCACGCCATTCCCCCCACTTTGCGCATTCTGCTGTTCAAATGCAGCCGCCAGATCCCCCACGAGATCCGCCACCATACCCGTAATCGTGGACAAGTGTTTCATCTCATCATACTCGAATCTCGGAATCATGACCATGTCCGGATTCCCCATCTTTTCATTCCAATCCCGTTGATTCAAAGCCGCATCTGGAATATTCCCCATATTTCTTCTTTTCTGCGGCTGGAGCGGTTGTGGTTTTAGATCCTGGAGAGCACTCATGCGACTCTGGGTACCATGGCTGCGGTTACATTGTTGCTGGGAACTGTACGCCGAAACGTTGCGTGATACTGCGACCGACGAAACCCCGGACACGGGATATGCAGAGTAGAGATGTGTTTGGGCTGATGCTTGACGCGAGGCAGTTGGAGTCGGTCGGATGTTTTCCGATTTGAGTTCGTATGGGATGCTGAAGCGGCGGGCTTCGGTGGCGGCGTTGATTTTGGCGAGAGATTGGTATTGGTGGGAGAGGATATCGGAGATGGAATTGGACGCTGCGGCTTTGATTTGATGCATACTGGTGATATGATGTGCCGTAAGTTGCTGTTGGTTGGTGCGGAAGTCGTGGATGTGGTTTTGGAGGAGGCGATTAACTTCACGGAGTATGTCGTGTTGAATTGAGTGAAGATGCTGTAGACGTCAACTTAGTGAGCAAATACATGACAGGGAGCTGGGACTTACGGAGCGAACAAATGAAGTCTCTTTGTAAGGGCTCGAAGAAGGGGAATCGGTCAGCTTGATCCAGTTGGAAGCGTCAAAGTTATTTGGGGTGGCCTGGAAACTGTTGTCGCCATTTCCGCTGATAGTCCAATCTAACGGACCATCTGGCTCGGATTGGCTCTTGTTTTCCGTAGAATTCTTATCCACATCGATCTTATGTCCTTCCAAACAAAGCCGTGACACTTGTCGGGTGTATTCCTTGAGCTCACCCAGTGACCTCCTCACCATTTGCTTATCATAAGAATAAAAGCTATTCCCCTTAATACCGAGCATATAATAATTCGCCTGGAGCAATTCATTGTCATTGACCCCTTCGCAAACTTTACCTGACGCACCAAGCCTCGCCAGAACATTAGTGCAAAGCACCGATATCTTCGCATGCTCATCAGTACTGGGGACGGCGAGCTTCACCAAGTCCAGCTCTTCGGCCTCCATTGCTTTGGCGTAGTTCCGCCTGTTCGCCACAAACTCCTTGATATCAGCAAGATTATCCCCATCAACGGCTTGATGAACCTCAAATTGGCAATCTGACGTCAACTTTTCCCACGCCTGCTCGCTCATTTCGTGTGTGAGTGCTCCGAGTATGTCCACGTATTTTGACAGTTCAGGATCCGTAACGACCAGAGTAATCATTGTGTTAGGACACTCCGTGGAAATCAACATGAGAGCACAATTGAGGGCGTTGCAAAGTAAATTGACATGGCGAAGACAGATCGAGTGTTTTGAATTGAGATTGACTGTCTTCCATACTCGCCGCCCGCCATCGCCGCCTTCGTACAAGCCGAACCCCCCAATACCCGCCTCAAGGTCCATCAAGCAGTCGACGTATACGGTAATGTTTCCCTTTTTCCTGGTAAAGTAGGCACACGGTGCAGATAACTTGCTAATCCGAAGCTGTCCTTCCTTCAACTTGAGAAGCACGCTTGGGTGGACATGGAAAAAGTCCAATCCGAGAACAACTTCGGAGTATCCCGGAACATCCAAGTGGTGCTCACAGATCAAGTTGCGGAACACCTTTTCATTCCAGTAAGGATGCAGTGTCTCTGGGATGGTAAACTCGCGGCCGTTGTCGTGGAAACGAAAGGTAAAGGGTGAGAAAGCATTTGGCCAGATACTAGTGTCGATGATGGTTGATGGTATGTTGAGATTGATGATGTAGTGGGCCCATCTATTCTGGTCGGGGTTATTGGACCCCGTTATAAAGATCGTTCCGCGATGGCGAGGAGAGTCGGTTATAAAGAATGATGAGTCCCAGATTGGAGATTTCCCCTTTTCATCGTCGTCGTTAATGCCAATAAACTCGGGTACTCGTGGCTTATCGAATTTCGTGATGATGCGGTTCGTAGTAGGGGGGGGAGTGAGGGTCGGGGTACTGGAGGGGACATGGAGCTCGTCAACGGCGGATCGAATGGTTGGCGTAGCCGGAATATGGTAGCGAGCGTCTGAGGAGGACATGGTGAACAAGACGGCGTACGAAATGCAAGTAGATGAAGCGGAAGCGATAGGAAACAAAAGTCCAGCAGCGATGGATGAACGAAAGCCGGTGATGGAAGAATCTGGCTCAGACTCGCAGTTCGCCAGACGGTTCAAGTGCACCCACACATGGGGCGTCACAGTCATTCACTATATCAAGTCCACACGCGGCGTCACAGTCTGTCACTGCACCGCAAGCTCCCGTGCCCGCCTTGCCGCGAGTGCCCATCTATGACCGCATGAAGTTTGTGCTGGCCAGAGCGTCAGTGAGGGGGAGAGAGAGAATCGTCCTAACTACCGCCTGCCACCTGTCGCTTTGGAAGTTTACCTTTTAACCTTACTGTCCTTCCAAACTCTGTCCCAGTCCTTCCTCTCCGCTTCAAGCTTATCGTTACTTCATCTCCTCATGGCATCCCGATGCTCACAATCTACGAGAACGAGAAAACGACCTGTCTCCGCTGCTTTTAGTGACGCCTCTCATCCGAGCGAGCTGAAGCCCCGGAAAAGAAGAACCCTTCTCACCTTGAAACACAGGCAGTCGCCGTGCCTTCTACTACATGATGATGATGATGATGATGAATTTGGCACAAACGTTGGGACGACCACAGGACATCAGTTGCCCCGTGTGAGTCGACAATCACTCACGAGTGCGCCCCGCAACCACACTCCTCCTCCCTTAATTCCAAGACAAACGACCCCAACACACATGAATCGACTTATCGGGCTCCCAACACCGGCCGCCTCTCCCTCACCACCGTCGGGGATCCTGCCAATGCCATCAGCAAGCGTTGTTGGGCCCGGAATAAGATTCACGCCAACGATTGGCAATCCCGATTCTCTGAGCCATCCATCAACTGAATACCAGTCAGAACGACCCGGAGTTTCCCGAAGCTCGGAGACAGTATCGACATCGAATCGAATGCGAACCCAAAACATCCGAATGATGGAGAACCATGTCGGTGGTTTTGACGCCGAATATCAGAGGTGGCAGCAAGTGTCGAAGAAAATGGGACAGCACGGCCTGCTGGGGTTGGTAGCGGCGAGGAATCTGCGGAGATGCTGGTTGGGCAATTTGGAGGCGTGATTTTGACAGCGAGGATGATGGTGATGGATATGATTTGAGCGGCTATAATGGAGTTGATGTCGGATACGATGACGAGCATATCATGAACTTGGATGTTGTGGATACATGTACAATTTAACGATGGCGAATGATTGGTTCCCTATTTACTACTATCAGTTGAAGAATCGTCCGGAAGTGAGAATTTTCGACTAACCTTTGGGCACCGGCTCCACCAGCGAAATATGCACGATGCTGGAGCACACAGACTGAGCTCTTCACCAACCACTCCTCGATAACTCCGGTAAATACCGCTGCATCAAACGTCATAGCCCTACGCCCATCGTCGCGCTCCCATTTGCACGGCCACAGATATATCAGAAGCACCTTCACCGGCCAATGTCCCAGTATTTCCTGAGTTCAGTGCGACCCCACTGTGTGGACCTCCGTCCCAACACTGCTCTCCCACGTAAGGGGAGCAAATCGTTGTCATTGCACTGCAGAGTAGGTATTCACAATATCATGACAGCAAGTTGCAACTTCCCGATGACTCCACAGGAAAGTAAGCAGAATGATACGATGGCCATGATCGGAAGCTCTCCAGCCAGCCAGCCAGCCAGCCAGCCAGCATCAACATCCGACACATCACTCACCACCAACACATTGCTCTTCGGATCATTGCTGAAGCAGGGTTTACCATCCATCACATCGCGGCCCTTTCCGCCTGCCCATGTATAAGCCTTTTTCGCAGGGAGATGTGCTGTCGACGTCTCAAGCTTACGAGCCAATGGGATGCTGGGAGCGGCTGGGTGCGTCGGCCAAGCTGGGGGGTGTTTCTAGTACCGGTACTTTTCTACACAGGGCTGATAGTGAGAATGAACAAAACAGGGGATCGGAAGGTATTTGTATATACATTTTCCAGAATCCAAGAAATGGAGTGAGGGCCTGGGGAGACATCGCCAAGGACGCAGATGGATCGGCAGGCGGGAGATGCTAATATATACTGGGTTAGGTGGGCAATGCTGATGCGGGACGGGTGCGTGAGAAAGTGGTGGTAAATGGACGCAAGGCGGCTCGGTGGTTGTTTTTG